CCATACACACTAGTTTATATCGGGTGATTTATTTTATACACAATTTCCGAAGGTGACATGAAAATAAAATTGTAATTTGTACTCATTTCACCACATGCGTACATACACATCGCATATTCACACATATATGCGTGTACGTGGTTGTATATAAGCAGATGAATACATAGGCATATGTACATACAATCTGTAAGTATCCTATGTATCATATTGGATCAATATTGATTAAAAGATAAGTAAAATTAATAACTACCTGAACCTATATGCAGCATTTATAAGTAAAAATGTAGTGTGCTTATATTGACTTTTATCCTTATTTTAGATATGTAAAAATGCAGTGATGTTTGCCTTTCCATGAGTAAATATATATCTGGATTAATGTGAGTATATAGAGGTACGTATTAACATGTATAATTTTGTCTGAAATCGAGTTTGTGTGTGTGTGTTTGTGTATGGGTGTGTCCGTAGCTGTGTTTATAAATATATTAGATATTTTTGTATACAATGACCTTCTGGGAAACATTGCGAATAGCCTTGACTCTTGTCCTGTGCCCTATATAAGGCGTTTCTCTTTGCGGTAGACGCATAGTCTCCGCTGAGTTCGCAGTAAGAACATATTCTCAACATGAAGCTGGTGAGTACATACGTAATTATGAATATATGGTAAGAATCATTAAGTTATTACGATTATCACCACAGCTACTATTACTACTGGTAGTAGAACAGACAATAGTATTTATCTTTCATTTCATGCATTACCTTGAGATCATTTTCATATTACTAATGAAACAAATGCACTGATCAATTCTTGCATATAACTATTTTATGTCTACAGATCTCGATGGCTCTGGCCCTGGTGGTGGCCCTGGCATGCCTGGTGAGCTGGACCAGCGCCATGCCTGAGCCTGACCCCGTGGCTGACCCTGATCCTGGCTACCGACGTTATGGTGGGTATGGTGGATATGGTGGATACGGCTACGGAGGTGGATATGGAGGATACGGGGGCTACGGATACGGAGGATACCACCGAAGCTATTACGGATAAAGATATCCTACTTACCACTCTTCACGAAAACATCCGAAGCAACACTACAAAATCTTCACTTCCTGTTTTTCTTCTCAAATAAACTTCATGAATCAATGTTTAGAACTATGACGACCCTCGATAGTGCAAAAGCTTTTATATGTAAAACATATAAAACTTTTTAAGATAATGTTTATATATATATATATATATATATATATATATATATATATTATATATATCAGTCATCATGACTTTTACCATGATCTAGAATTCATATAAAAATTATAGATTTGAGTGTTTCACCTTCAGTCCCTTCCGATGGCATAAAGAGAGCTAATAGATATATATATATATATATATATATATATATATATATATATATATATATACGTTAGATAAATATATATTTATATGCGTGTGTGTACAGATATATACAGCTGTAGATTTTTCATGTACATGAATATTACATACATATATACTTACACATAAACAACCACACATTCACAAACATACATATATATCAGTCTATATCTATATATTATACCTATTTGTATATATACATATATGAATATTTAAGTTTGCCTTGTTTTATGCTTCTTGTCTGTCATTTTCGCCGCCTAAAGAATAGAAAGATTCCCTGCAAGTTGCATGACTTGAAGATGAAATTTGGCTTTTTCATATGTTCAATTTTATTCCGTTGACGTAGTTCTCGTATGCATGTAGCCGGAGCGTACATTCAATAATAATAATAATAATAATAATAATAATAATAATATAATAATAAATAATAATAACGAACGGTCACACATACATATATATATAAGTGTGTACATATATATATATACTTGAAAATCAACCTGGATTTCAAAACACATAAAATTAGGGAAAGTCTCCATGGAGCTGTTTTCATGTAGGTGGTTTCCAATGATCTTATTAACATTGCAAAGTATTTGTTTATTCGCCATTAATATCTGCGCGGGATTTTCTGTATCACAATATATATATATATATATATATATATATATATATATATATATATATATATATATATATATATATGTGTGTGTGTGTGTGTGTGTGTGTGTGTGTGTGTGTGTGTGTGTGTGTGTGTACGTATACACACATACATATAAGTGAATGTATATTCAGATATATCTTTATTAATACATAAACTGAAAATACGTATTGAATACAGTATAAATATGTGTATATATGTATGTTACACATATATATATATATATATTATATATATATATATATATATATATATATATATATATATATATATATATATATATATATATATATATATATATATATATATATATATATATATATACGGTAAATATATATGTATATGCATGTAATATATATATATATATATATATATATATATATATATATATATATATATATATATATATATATATATATATATATATATATATATATATATGTAATA